AGTAATTCGTTGGCTATCGCCGCCTACTGGGGTTTAGTGGCTTGTTAATATTATAGGAATGTAGGAATACTATTTTTAAACCAAAGAACTCAAATATTTTTTATTTATTGATAGTTATAGATGATATATAGGGTATCCCGAAATTAGACGATCATATTTTAACAGCGTAATCTACATCCTAAAATAGTAGTAAAAGTTCATGTAAACATAGGTCCGAAACGTTTCTTTTCCGACATACAGGGTGTTAAAGGTGAAGTCCTGATACCACACTTTTGTAAATATTTTCTAAACGTTTAAAGATAATTAGGTAAAATTTGGTACAAATACTTACCTTTTTACGCTATATTTATTGGACTAAAGCCCAGTTTCTTCATAGGTGGGTAAATTAGGGGGAGCTTAGGGTAAAATTGCTCTAAGTTTTTTTGTTGATAGTTTTTAACATTTTTGACTATAAAATTTGGAAAACCAATATTTTCTTTATAATAAAGCTACATTTGTTGCATCTCGCTAGGACGCGCCATTTTCAAGAGAAAAGCATTTTAAAGTTTCATGATAAGTTTATGTTATCTTATTCGAAAGTGTAAACAATAATTAGTAGGTCTGTAGAATCAGATATTTTATATTTTTTTTAACTTTGAAAAACCGGTAACTAAAGAAATTTTAGAAAATATTTACAAAAATATGCCATCCGGACTTCACTTGTAACACCCTATATCTCGAAAACGAAACGTTTTCGGACCTATGTTTATATAAACTTTTACTCCTATTTTTAACCGGCTTCAAAAAAGGAAGAGGTTCTCAATTCATCGCAATATTTTTTTTTATTTTTTTTTATGTATGTTCAGCGATAATTCTTTAACACGGTGTCCAATTTCAATGATTCTTTTTTGTTAGAAAGGGAGTACTTCAGGAGTGGTCCCATATAAATTTGGTCAAAATCTAATAATTGGATCCATGAGAAAATCCTCATACTCTTCATTTTTTATGTATGTTTAGCGATAATGCTTTACCACCTTGTCCGATTTATATGATTCTTTTTTTGTTAGAAGTGGGTACCTCAGGGGTGGTCCCATATAAATTTGGTTAAGATGTGGTGACGGTATCTGTACGTTTTTGAAGTCGGTTTTTTTTAATTTCTAATACTTGTAGGATGTAGATTACGCTGTTAAAATATGACCATTTAATTTCGGGACACCCTATATATTGGAAATTCGAAATAATAGTTATGACGTAGCGGTGTTCTTCTAATTGTAATCGGACCCTAGGTATATGGATACGGAAAGTGATGAATTAGAGATAGGTAAATTGTATTAAAGAAACAACAAATATAAGTACAATTAACTAAGTACCTATATTAATATAACAATTTTTTAATGTCTGTATAAAAAATATTTTTTTTCACATAGATTATTAAATTAAAAAATAACTATTAAAACACGAAATATTAATTTTTCTCTTTTACAACACAAAATATACAATACTGTTGAATCAAAATTTTCTCTTGGCAGCAGGTGGTTTTTTGTGTCACGACAATTATGATGCTTTGCATCTCATGAATTAAAGCTAATTCACTTTCAATCTTAAGGTGATCACACTCCTTATAATTTTCTGACAAGAATATCTCAAAATATTTAAATTTTGGAAAATAAATTAGGCAATAATATCTAGAATATGCATATATTTTAATGTTTTAATTCCCTCCAGTTTCCGAAAAAACAAAACTAAAAGGGCTTTAATTTTGAAATATCATAATGAAAATAAATGCATTCCTCGACAGCACTATTCTTAATATAATTTTTAAATTTAAGCTCCTAATGTCTTGTTAATGATTTCTTAAATTCGCCAAAATTAGTAGCTAAAACGCCTCGTTAAGTACTATCTTCTGGTGTAAACTGGTGTAAATAGTTGCAAGAAACGAATAATGACAGAGTGTACGATACGATAATTACAGGCGCGTTACACCAGAAGGCAGCACTTAACGAGGCGTTTTAGCCACTAATTTTGGCGAATTTAAAAAAATCATTACGAAGACATTAAGAGTCTAAATTTCGGGATTATATTAAGAATAGTGCTGCTGAGGAATGCATTTATTTTCATTATCATATTTGATTTTTTTTCTCGGAAACTGAAAGGAATTAAAACTTTAAAATATAGGCGTATCTAGTTAATATTACCTAATTTATTTTGCCAAATTTTAATTTTTTAACAAAATTATTTTTTGAAATATCCTTGTCCGAAAATTATAAAGGCTGCTGCATTCACCTTAATATACCAACATACAGGGTGTTTCAAAATTCATGCGATAAAATTCAGGAGGTGATTGCTCGTATGAAATTAAGATGAGTCTTTCCTATAACAAAATTTCCTCAGCCCACCCCTTTTCGAGATATCACCCTTGAAAGGTGATGACTAAAATTAAGTTTTTATTTTTTTTCTAAAATTTCAGTAAAGCTAGAAACTTGAAATTCTGTAATTTTCGTGCACTCGCAAAGGACTAACTACGGGTATTTTTTCAATATTCCCGTTACATTATAGGGGGGTGAAATTAGCAACATTACTTGATTTCATATCAAAACTTTTTTTCGAGATGAACTTTTATGAAATAAAATTATAACTTGATATCCTTGTTTTATTTAAAAATTGTTTTTATTCTTGAATTTTTTTCTCAAAACCAATAGCTTCAAATTTAATTTATCATTTTTTTTTTAATAAATTGAGTAGAAAGCAGTATTTTTTTTTTCTATAAAGCTATTGGTTTTGGAAAAAAATTTAAAAATAAAAAAAATAAATTATACAAGGATTTCAAGTTATAAAATTATTTCATAAAACTTCATCTCGAAAAAAAGTTTTGATTTGAAATAAAGTAAGAGTTGCTAATTTCACCCCCCTATAATGTAACGGGAATATTGAAAAAATACCCGTGGTTAGTCCTTTGCGAATGCACGAAAATTACAGAATTTCAAGTTTCTAGCTTTACTGAAATTTTAGAAAAAAAATTAAAACTCAATTTTAGTCACCACCTTTTAAGGGTGACATCTCGAAAAGGGGTGGGCTGAGGAAATGTTGTTATAGGAAAGACCCATCTTAATTTCATACGAGCAATCACCTTCTGAATTTTGTTGCATGAATTTAGAAACACCCTGTATATTACACTTTTTTTTTGCGGGCAAAATTATTGACAATCTCTTTTCCCTAATTGGCACATGTCGTATTTCTCTAGGATCTACTAACTCTGGCAGCAAACAATTAAAATAGAAATTTGTCAGCTGTGGTAGCATTTTTGCCTTCCAGAATTTTTCATTTCATAAATTAACTAAAAACTAAATTAAACAAAAACCTAACAACGGCTCAACAACAAACTAAGACGATCACAATAATTTCGCACCTCTTCAAAAACAACTATTTTTCGACACAGGAATTAACAAATTTAACTAAACAGCAGCTACCCTTTTAATCACGGGCTTCATAGACGCAGCGTTGCCATAATCATTGTATCATTAGTATCGGAATGAAAACTATGTTAATCTTTCGTCCTGTTTAAAATTGGTAATCTTTTTAAAAAAAAGTTATTTAGAAAATAGTTAAGATATTTGTTATAGAATGACGCTAAAGAGCCCAAAAATTAAATTTGTTAAAAAGTTGCAATTTTTGTTGTTTTTCTTTGAAAATATAAGTTTTTCGCGATTTAGCGTCGATCTTGGTTTATTTTTAGAACAATTGGCCTAAACCATTATTTTTTACAATTTTTTTTTAACTGCCTCAAACGTAAAATTGATTTTTGGCGGAGGAGCGCCTGTCATGTTTGCTCTTTAAATATCAATATATTTAAATGTGAAGTAGAGCCTAGGATATTACATTTTATTAAAACTGAAGTAATATATTTTATAAGTGTCTTTTTACCTGATGTTAAATGTAATATAGGTATTAGATTAAAAAATGAATCCTTTTACTATTCATTTACTGGTAAAAAAATTTCTTCCAAATACAGATGATATACTCTCTTATTTAAAAATTTTTTTCGGGATGTAGCCAAGTGATAAATAATTGATTTTCAATTAGATGTACCCGTTTGTCATTTTATGGTGCATGGCGATGCATGGTGAAACAATGAAGTTTTTCTCGAAGTTTTTAACGTAGCACCAAAATTATTGCAAAACACAGTAGGAAATAGAAAAACAATTTTGCAAATAACTAAGAAACTATAAACAGTCAAAGCCAACAACAAATTCAAAAATCACTAAAAGCAGACGGAAAAATCAGAATAACCAAAAACACATCATCGTCATAATATCTTTGGATTCTTTGGTTAAGTTTCACCCTTAACAAAGTCAACTCTTTTCGAACAAAAAAGAAGCTCTAATATACCTAATTACTTCCGATCTATTATGTTAGTTTCTTAGATATAGATCTATGCGGATCCTATTGCTCGTGGCTATAAAAATTAATCATAATTCACTATTGTGCAAAATATAGCAGCTACCTACCATCATCACGAACTAGAGCATTAAATATTTTCATTTGCAGAATTTAATTTCATTTCTAATGTACCTACTATTGTATTGCATGTATTTCCGTTTAAGTACCATGCCGAATTAATTCATTACATAAGCCCTGTAATTAGCATTACATAATGAATAAAATTTAACTAAAATATTTTGTCACTTTTAATTTAAAACGTATCTGATTGCCGTATAATTAAAAAATAAATTAAATATTGAATTTACTACTTTCTGTTTTATAAAGAACGTGTTGTTTGAGGAAACCGTACTAATTACTAACGAAGAACAATCTTGAATATTAACAATTTTTGGAAATACATCTTTTAATCAAGTTATAACCAACATCATCTCCTGGGATTTTGATCATAATATCTTTATCATTATATACAGCTGCTCGTAAAACTGAATATTCAATATTAAAAATATTTTCAACCTGTCAAAGTTTATTTTTTTAATAATAAAGCAATTCTAAAACTAATATCTACAAAATTTTTGTTTCAGACGGGTATATGTCGATGGTTATTTCTTCTGGTATCTCTAGCGACATGGGTCACGCTAACAAGTAAGTATATTACTTTAGGACAGGATATAAGTAATGTAGTTTTGCGAGTTCCGAGTGTAGGTATATAAGTTACCAAAAACGTATATACATCTTCCAAATTAAGTAGTTAATGTGAGTAGTAAACATGAGCAAAATTGATGAATTTTGCTACTTTGTAAATGTGCATAGGTAATAGGTATTCACTTTCAGATTGTGGTAAATTTAGTCAGAATTTTGGATTTCAGGTTTGAAAATAAAAATTGACTATAAGAGCATTGCTTATTTAAAAAATGTGAATATACAGGGAGCTAGAAAAAAATGAAGATTCTCTGAATAAAAATAAGACTATTAAACGAAACGTGCTTAGGTAAAATATTACTGGTTTCCGAAATACAGGGTGTTACAGTTGAAAATTCAAAAATGAGTAATGGCTATAATTTCTTTATTTGTCAGTATTATTTACTAAATTCGGTAAACATTTTTGGTGCCACAAGATACACATATCAGCAAAGCAATCAGTTAAATAAACTTTGCCAGTGGCGTACGGCATGAATAAGTAACACGTTCATCCCCTCTAAATTTTACGCCACTGTCCAAAAATACTTTCACATTTTTTATATTCTTTAAATAAATCTTGTACTCTTTTGGAAACTTATAAAGTGATTGGTTTTCGAGATATTCTAACTCAAAGGTGGATATTCATACTTTTATTTTATTTTTTAATTTTGAGTTTTTTATAAAATTATACGGAACAAACGATTTTGATGTCATAAGATACCCTTATCAGCAAAACAATCAGTTAAATAAACGTTTGGCAGTAGCGTACGGTATAGGCAAATAACACCTTCATCCCTTTTAAATTTTACATCACTCTCCAAAAACTTATAAGGACTATAATTTTGAAATTTTTGATGTTTTTTAAATAAATCATGTACTCTTGTTAGAAATTTATACAAAAATCCAAAATTACAAAATTAAAAAAATAAATTAAAATGAAGAATATTCACCTTTGAGGGTGAATATCTCAGAAACCAACCATTTTATGAGTTCCCAATAGGAGTACATAAATTATTAAAGAAATATCAACAAATTTAAAATTATAGTCTAAATAAATTTTTGGACGTTACTAGCAAAGTTTATGATACTGATTTTTTGCTGATAGGTGTATCTTATGACACCAAAAATGTTTGCCGAATTTAGTAAAATTATACTGAGAAATAAAAAAAAAATATAGTCATTAACAATTTTTGAATTTTCGGAAGCGAGTAATATTTTATTTAGGCATATTTCGTTTAATCGGCTTATTTTAATCAGAAAATGTGCAGTTGTTCTGTGTGTCCCATTCTTAATGAGACAATCCTGTACAAAATGCGACAACTTGTTTTGTTAAGGAGTCAAGTTGTTTAATTTAAAAATATTTGTAGAGAGCTATTGTTGAAAGCTTCCTTCTGTCGCGTAGGCAGAATAATTGTATTTTTCTGTTTAATAGAACCAGTTTTTTAAATTATACAGTCCACTTTTATTTATCTTACAGAGAGTGATTAATCAACACAAACATGTTTTACATAAACGAATAAAAAGGTACTTTAAATAACCTACAACAAGAAAGAATTATTTGATGATTTTCTCATGGATCCTATCATCAGATGTTGACCAACTTTATACGAGACTTCCCTGAGGTACCACTATCTAACAAAAAAGAATCATTGAAATCGAACAACATGGTAAAGAATTATCGCTGAACATAAATAAAAACAAAAACAAAAAATATTCCGACGAAAAACACTGATGATAATTATTACATTACAAAATTTAATTTAAATTGGATTTGTAGTTTACGTTTATTCTTAATTTCAGAGTTTCATAAAATTACTCTTGAGGATATTTTTTCTAAAAACTATTCTAATGAATGAAAAACATAAAATGTGGATCAAAAAATTGAATAGACGATCATCAAACCTTGAGACAGAAGAAGGGAAGTATTTAAAAAATTGCACAGTTCCTTTAGCAATTAGTATAATAGTTGATAAGATACAGTTAGAACGTTTTATTGATCACATGGAATCAAAACCTTATGCGGCGTCCCAAATTTATAAATATTCTTTATAAATATTCTTTATGGGAACAAGAATCTAAGAATCATTGTTTTGAAAAAAAAAATATTAACAGTAATAAAATACACCGGATTAAACTTTAAAAAACTCTATTAATCGAAGGACCATCTTAACATTTCGGCGTTAAGAAAACCTTTACAATAAACTCTTATACTTTTTACAGAACCTACAGTATTCTACACAACTAAAGACTGAAAATCATTATAGTACTTTTCGAATTTTTACCAACTAGCTTTACCACTTCAAACTGGGTGGGAAATTGCCCAGCAAGTAAAGAAAGTTTTACCTAACAAGGTGGAAAAAAATGAGTTTATTGTAAAATTTTAAGTAAATATCCTATTTTAATTATTTTAAATTATATAAAATATTCACTATGAAACACAAACGAATATTAAATAATAAAAGAGAGTTTCATTTTGATAACGGAAACAACATGATTTAAAATATGAAAAAAGGTAAGCATAAAATCATCTTGCTTTTGGTGATTATTCAATTTTAATGACAAACAAGAATATGTTAAAAAATTGGAAAGAGAAAACATGATGCTATTGCTTAAACCTATTAGTAAGAATATCAATAATTATAAAACGAAAGGGGCACCTAAAAAAATACGTTTGTTTAATTTATCGTGTGTCCTTTATAAATTTGAAACAATATAACGTTCATTTATTTAAACAGTTTATTTATTTAATTTTTTTCACATTAAGACGCTAATTTATTTTATAACTAATTTATGTATACTTAATACTACAATAATTTATATCACATTTACTTATACACTAATTTATATGGTCATTATTTCTGTGTACTGAACGATATCTTAACTTTAACTGACTCTAACAGCAAACGTGGGCTATTTATGTACACATGACAGTGTGGCGTGTCTCGAATTCTTCGTACATTTGTCAGAATTAGTTACAAAAATTCTAGACGTCCTTCCATTAGAACAAGAAGATACAGCGAAGCATACACTATTTATTAGACTGGCACCTTCGGTAGTTTCTTCAATATCACTTCGACTAATTGTACATGGCTATGAGCATACCTTTAGGGGTTGTGGAGGTTGACTTATTCGAAAGATGGGGGCCAAATAAAAAAAAAACAAAAAAAAAGCCCAAATAAGGCAAAGAGAGACTTAAGGGTTCAGATCATAATTGAAATGGTCAAAAATGGCTCACATTATAATACGTATGTCCTAAAATATATAAAATGTATATATAAAAGGTATGTCCTAAATTACACCAGATATTTGCGGTCAAAAATAGGTGAGTTAGTTTTAACTTATCTAAGTGTATACAAAAAAAGTTTGTAAGTCCTTGTACAAGAAAACTGAGGCCAAAAGTTTAAAAATGAATGTGTAAGTTAGGTCTAAATAGACTTCAAACTTAAAAATTTATAGAAATCAGTAGTCAATAGAATTATATATATAGTTGCCAAACGTAACTTTTGTTAAATGTAATGTTCATTTAACTAAAAACACTAATGTCAATCAACCTGTACAGTAATTATTTTTATTGTAGTCAATTTCCTTTATAACTTTTGCAACACAAACCTCGTTCGTCTTGACTGTTGTTCAAATTCTTTGATGAACTCGGGATCCGCTTAAAATCTCTTTGGGTGAACGTTGAGCATACACAATTTCACAGACCGCTAAGCCTTTCATTTCCCATTGTAGAACGATTCCAAACTTTTACACGAATTAATGTACTGAATGAGCATTCGATACTACATGTTGTTAGAGGAGAGATCAATCTTAATTGCTGGATAAATGGTGTTGCGTATTCTAAAAATTCATTCGGAAATAGTTCACTTGTCCACATTACGTACCACGTAATAGCCTTGGACATAAAATTCGAAAAAATATGTCCGTACAAACTTTTTATTTGCAGTTTTATTCAACATTTTCAGAGCTTGCGAATGATGTTAAGTACTTAAGCGCAAAATGCTTTTTCGTGGGTAGAAGAGAATCGGTCCCTCAAAGAAGAAATAAGAGAATTCCAATAAGGAATAAATATATATCTTCTGAAGAAATCTTTAATACTTTCGGATGCATCCTGGAGTATTAACATGATAAAACTTATCGAAAATCAAAAAATCAAGTTTGCGCTGCATTCCCAAAATTAGGCATTCCAACGAGCTGTCAAACAATAGGTGCCAGTGGGAAATTATTGTATATCTAAGGGGGTAGCGACATAGTCTTGCAACTTGGACGCTATTTTTATTCAAAGTAGTAGTCGCTAAGCCTGCCAATTTATGAAGAAATGTATAGGTGTGTTTTTTAAATATCATTTTTATTGTGTTTGACATAAAATATTTAAATGTAATCCATTATTCATGATTTTACGTAAAGTAGATAGAATATACCATATGTCGCCACCCTTAGATATACCAAACCTGCCCACTGGTAATTCATTTGTTTGGAATGCCTAATACTTATAAATGACAAGTCGAAACAATATTTGTTGTCAAGGATTTGTTTATCTGAATTATTTAGTTGTTATGTTACCTCAAAGATACGACTTTCTTACATACATATTGGTTCCTGATTTAAGATGGATGGGCAACCTGCAGGTATGTACTTTAAAATAATATATTATTTTTCAAGAACCGGCCTTTAAAAGTAATATTTTTTTTAAATTTAATCTTGGAGGGTTCAAAAGTCATGTACAAAACATAAAGTTTGACTTTTTTACAGAGTTTTAGTTAATTGTTTTCCCGAATTCAGCTACTTTTTTATATATTTATTACTGATAAAACAACAAGTTATAAGATGGTAAAAAACTTGTTGCTACTTTCTGCTCCTTTTTGCTTATTTTTGGACAAAATAGAAAAAACAGGTTCAGTGCCTTTGAAAATTTTACAAATCAATTAGGCTTTTTATTCTACAGGGTGTTTCTAAGAGACCTA